CTTTAAGTCTTAAATATTTATTGGTTGTGGTATCTGATTGTCTAGGTCATTGTCTGTGGATGTGTACGTGTATTTATCGGTGTCTATGTGTATGTAGAGTGCATTCACATTTAATTGTGTGTGTGTGTATAGGTGTTGGTTTCCCCGTTTTTTTTTTTTCATAAAGGGTTGTAGAGATGTTCCTGTCTCGTCTTTTTTTTTTTTTTTTTTTTTTTTTTGTGTGTGTGTATATATATATATAAATATGTCTGGGTGCTTATGTATTATAATATAATTGATTGTGTTTTGTTGTTTTGCGCGTGAGTTTAAGACACATTCACATTCAAAAACTTTAGAAAAAAAATATATATACATGTATTGTCAAATGACCGGATATATTGTAGCGTCTTGTCGAACGTAATTTCAATGAAGAAATGAATTGAATAAACATATATTTTTTTTTCTTTTCTCAATAATTTTGTAGTTTTTAAACTTAATAGTGATTAAATTTGGATTTTAAAATTGCCAGTTTTTAATTTTAATATTAAATTTTATCATATAATTTTATAATTATTGGTTAGTATAAATTCTTTTTTTTAATATTACCGTATTTTAAAGATCTGAATAGCTATTATAACATGATTTCGTTGTCAAGCTTTTTGAATCTTTCTATACTTGGTTTTTGATTGGTTATTCTAGCTTTTGTAACAATGTTTCCCCCTAGTGTAGGATCGTTAATTAATCTGAAACTTTTAAAACCATTTATTTTATTTTCAACATCATCACTTGATAAGACACAGAGTGTGTTGAAACAAAAATGGCTATTTTGTAGTGATTTTATAACATACTTATGTTATAATTTTTTATAAAAATAATTATATCTATATATACTTTGTATTGATATATCTTTTAAGAATAGTAATTGTTGGTTATTGGAATTCATTCCGTATATACCAATTATATACTTGGATATATATATATATATATATATATATATATATATATATATATATATATATATATATATAAATATGCAATTTATCAAATATAATTTATTCATATATTATATTATTTTATTTATAATAAAAATATATATAATAAACATCAATTTTTATAAATATAATATATATATATATATATATATATATGTGTGTGTGTGTGTGTGTGTGTGTGAAAAGTGTGTATATAAATATATATATATATATATATATATAATATATATTATATATATCATATAAAACTTATTACAAAGCGCTAGAAAAATCACATCAATCCAACAAAATATATATATATATATATATATATATATATATATATATATTCTTTTTTTCTTGTGTTCTAAAAATAATACTTTGTAAGTCGTTTATAATGAAACATGTATAGAAGAGGGATTTACTTTTAACAAATACACACAACACACACACACACACACAGACCCACACACACACATACACACACACGCACAGACACACATACATACATGCTTACATATATATATATATATATATATATATATATATATATATATATATGATGTTGTAGCATTATTACCTTATTGCTTGCAATGGTGCCCCTTAACCTTCTTCCTCGAGTGTCTCTTAGGCCTTGTACAGGAAACGTCATTGTAAATAATTTTTTTTTTATTCACAAATGTAATATCATTTTCGGGAAAATTTGAATCCACTAAATATAAAAATTATTATTGGGCAGTCATCGAGTATGTGTATTTTTATAATATCGGATATAAAGAAATAATATTGTCGTCTGCTTTATTCATATTGGCAATTCGCGCGTTTTGCTGACAAAATTATCTGGGAAAAGGTGATAATAATTAGGCCATAGCTTTTACCCACACGCTAATAAATTGTACTCATCGGAAATATTGTTTACATTAATCTTGTCTTTTTTAGTTCCTTTCGCAAAATTCCAAGACATTCAGTCATTTTTTTTTTTTTTTTACTTCTTTATTTTCCATTCTTTTCCGGAAAGAAAACTGTCCTTTTTTTTTTTTTAATAATGATGGTGAATCCCTTTCATGACGTTCTATCTACCATTTTTTCATATTTCATTCAATTCTTTTACCGAATTTTCCGTGACCATATTTGGACAAAATGATGTCTGCGGTCCTTCTCTTGTGAAAATCAGTGTCTGAGCACAAAACGACCACGTCCTTTTTTTTTTTTTTTTTTTTATATTCCAGAATATTGGGGCCCCAAGGCCTTTGTAGTTAATAATCAATTACCTTGACGCTGCAGGACCCTTGACGATTTTATTTGAGCTGAGATATTTTTTTTTTTTTGTCTTCTGTCTTTTTAGAACAGAAAGAAAAAGAATGGCTGTCCGTTTATATATATATATATATATATATATATATATATATATATATTTTTTTTTCATTATTTTTTTATTTTTTTCTTTATTTCACGCAAAGCCAACGATATATTCCTTTTCACTATCTCGTCCACTTGGTGATTCAATTATTTCGCCTTCATTTTTTACCCTCTTGAACCTTGCACCTTGGATGGATATTCTATATCTCTCCTTTTTTTTCTCTCTCGTCATGTCTCTCTTCCTCTTTCTTTCTCTCTCACTCTCTTCTCTTGCTTTTCCTCTCGCTCTTCCTGTCTCAATCCCTGGACTTGTTTGTATCCCTTTCTTTCTTTTGATTCCCCTCTCTCTCTCTCTCTCTCTCTCTCTCTCTCTCTCTCTCTCTCTCTTTCTCTTGCTAATCGGTCTATTTTCTCCTTCTTTTTCTTTTTACACCTTCTCTTTCTCCCTCTCCCCCCAATCTCGCTCATTCTCTCTCTGTTTCTCACTCTCTCTCTCACTTTCTCTCTCAATCTTCCCTTCGCCCTCTGAAGACCCAGTAACTCGCTATCGGTATATTCCATTGATTATTTGCCCCTGTCATAGATGTTTTTCTTTTTTTCATACCACCAGAGTCAAATCTGTCTTCAGTACGTTTTACTGAGTGCGTCCAAGCACTTGATATCAGAAGAACATCCGATTTTTTTTTTTTTTTAATTTTCGTGGATATGTTGACATATTTTTTTTTTTTTTTTAAAGACGGGAGCCGAGTTCGAATTCAGGTCAAGTTCCTTAGATTCATTTACGCACAATTTATGATCCGATCCTCTCTCTCCATCTTTGAGTTAAACAGAAGGATTGTTTCTGTAAAAGTCATTGTCATTATCAAAAAAAAAACAATTCTTTTTGAATCCGATAATACAACTAAGACACAAGGGTTTACTGGGAGGAAAGAGAATGACTGAAAAGGAATAAGCAATAAAAGAAGAAGTTTAAGGAAGACAGAAGATGGCGATAATGCCACTAAGACGCAAAACTTAAGAAGGAGAAAGAGAAGACTTTTGTGAGAAAGGACAATTGTAAAGGTTTAGGGAAGACATGGTGATGTGCCACTAAGACACAAGGGTTTATAGTTTAATGAGAAGACTTTAGTGATGAGAAGGACAATAAAAGAAGAGGTTTCAGGAAGAAGAAGATGGCGATAATGCCACTAAGACGCAAGGGGATATAATGATAAAAGAATTTTAGTGATGAGAAAGGACAATAAAAGGTAAAGACAGAAGACAAGATATTAAGACGCAAGGGGATATAGGTGAAAGAGAATGAGAAGAATATTAATAGAGCAATAAAAAAGAAGTTTCAGGAAGACAGAAAGATGCGATAATGCCACTAAGACGCATATATACTATATATAAAGAGAAAGAATTTTTTTGAAAAAGGACAATAAAAGATGAAAGGTTTCAGGAAGAAAAGATGGTTAATGCCACTAAGACAAAAGGTTTACTTTGAAAAGAATGAGAATTTTCTGCAATAAAAAATTTATTTTTAGGAAAAAAGAAATGGCGATAAACTAAGACGCATTTTTACTGGGAGAAAAAAATAATGAGAAGACTTTAGTGAGGAGAAAATTAAAGAACAAGGAAGACAGAAAATGGCGATAATTTTTGAAAGGATACTTTTTATTAATTAATAGAAGACTTTAGTGAGGAAAATTTAATAAAAGAAAAGTTCTAAGATAATACAAAAAGACAAGTAAGATTTTAGTGAGGGAAAAGAGCAATAAAAGATGAAGTTTGGAAGAGTAGAAGATGGCGATAATGCCACTCAATAAATAAGGGGATAGGAAATTAAAAAATACTTTTTTATATAAAGGACAATAAAATTTAATATTTACAGAAGATGGTGATAATTAAGACAAATGGAAGTGAAAAGAATATAAACTTAGTGAGGAGAAAAGCAAAAATAAAAAGTTTTGAGGAAGACAGAAGATGGCAATAATGCCACTAAGACGCAATTAAATGAGAAGATTTTCGAGGAGAAAGGACAATAAAAAGTGTTATATTACCTTTTTATAATACTATATATATTTTGGGAGGAAAAGAGAAGACTTTAGTGAGGAGAAATATAAACAATAAAAAGAACAGGTTTCACTAAATATACAAATAAGAATAAAGGGGGTTACTGGGAGGGAAAGAGAAGAAACTTTTGATGAAAAAAGGACAATAAAAGAACAGGTTTTCAAATACAGAAGATAGCGATAATGCCACTAAGACGCAAAAATTACTTAAAAAAAGAGAACGAGAAAATTTTAGTGATGAGAAAGGATCAATCAAAAGAAAAAAAGGAATAAAGAATAGGTGCCACTAAGACGCAAGGGATTACTGGGGGGAAAGAGAATGATTTTTTATGAGGAGATAGGATATAAAGAATAGGTTTAAGATAGATATGCCAATAATATACTAAGACGCAAAGGGTTACTGTACAATGAAAGACAATGAGAAGACTTTAGTGAGGAAAAAGGACAGTAAAAGACTAGAGCGAACCAAGTTACAAGCATCTTCAAGAAAGATACATGCATTTCCATGAAGATATATGTATCTTACATCGATACATTTATCTTACATGGAGATAGATGTATCTTAGTTCAATATACATATATCTTACATGAAGATACATTTATCCTAATTTAAGATACATGTATCTTACATGAACATACATGCATTTTACATTGAGATACATGTATTTTAATTCAAGGTACATTATGCATGTATCTTGCATTGAGTTACATGTACCTTGCAAGTAAATACATATATTGCGCGCAGATACATATATCTTGTATGTATCTTGGATGACAATGCTTGTATGAATATTTCATGATTCATATATAGATTTTTGTGGTTTAAAAAGATACATTTTCTCTTTAAATTTTTCTCATATGTATCTTGAATGATATAATATATATATACAGGAAGATATATATATATATATATATATATATATATATATATATATATATATATATATATATACCTAGTGAGCCAGACAAACCTACCTAGGTTTCACCTAAACGGATCGTCAGGAAAGTTTGGCGAAACAGGTCTAGTTATCTATATTTATATATATATATATATATATATATATATATATATATATATATATATATATATCTTAATGAAAGATATATGTATCTTGCATTGAGACACATGTACGTTGCAAGGAATAGTTGACTTGTTTTCTCACTCTAAAACCCCCCATGGCCTCTTTCCTGGCATGTTAACAAAATTAGAAATCCCGTATCATTTTTAAATATCTACTTTCGTTTTCTTATGAAGCAGCCATTCAGAATTCGTTGTTGTTTTTTGGGTGTATTTTTTTTTTCTTCTGTACCCATAAAAAAATCTGAAACGAAATGTTTCTATTCATTTATTCCAAAGATGATGTGAATTTTAAATGTTGAATAAGCTTTTATCTTCCGCCCATTTCGAGCGCGAAAAGTAAAACAAAAGCACTTCACGGTCAGAAAGTACAAAATAGCTCTTGGAATCTATTCGAAAAGTCTTTCATCACATATCAAATATATCGATTATGAATTAAAAGTGTGTTTTATGAGTTTCCAGTGCCTCTCTAACAGCTATAAACTGAATAAATAGCTTTTGTATATATGTCGGTAGAGCCTTTAATCAAGTCTCTATAGGTTTTCATTATGAATAATCCTACTTATGGCATATCGACGACTATACAACGGTCATGTTAGGTAAAACGAATATTTTTTATGTATATTCTGATTGTCTTTCATTATACAAGGTACGTCGGAAATACGTCCAAAATATCCGTCCCAGAAATATCTCCCATGAGATAATAATGGTGGGACATTGGCAAGATGAAATCACCGTTGCCACGAATGTGTTACTCTTCCTGGAGATATATGTAGGAGGTATTTCTGCCGCACCTTCTATAACACTGACCTCTTTTGTCCTCCTCTTTGTCCTTTTTTTCTTATTCTCACCTTCTCCTCCTCCTTTTTCTTTTTCTTTCTCTTTTCCTCCTTCTTAGAGTTCTCCCCCTTCTCCTCCACCTTTTTCGTCTTCGTTCTCTCTTCCTTCTTGTTCTCCTCTTCCTATTCTTCCCTTCTCTTCCTCCTTTTTCTTTTTCTTTCCCTTTTCCTTCTCCTCATCCCCCTTCTCTTCCTTCTCCTTCTTCATCATCTTCTTTCTCTCTCCTTTCTTCTTGTTCCCCCTTCTCCTCCTCCTATTTCTTTTTCTTTGCTCTTCCTTCTTCTTATTCCCCTTTTTCCTCCTCCATTTTCTTTTTCTTTCTCTCTACCTTCTTATTCTCTTCCTTCTTTTTCTTTCCCTTTTCCTTCTCCTCATCCCCTTTCTCTTCCTCCTCATTCTTCATCTTCTTCTTCTTTCTCTCTTCTTTCTTCATGACCCCCCTTCTCCTCCTCCCTTTTCTTTCTCTCTTCCTTCTTCTTATTCCCCTTTTTCCTCCTCCATTTTCTTTTTCTTTCTCTCTACCTTCTTATTCTCTTCCCCCTTTTTCTTTCCCTTTCCTTCTCCTCATCCCCTTTTCTTCCTCCTCATTCTTCCTTCTTCTTCTTTCTCTCTTCTTTCTTCTCCCCCCTTCTCCTTCCCTTTTCTTTCCTTCTTCCTTCTTTTATTTTTTTTCCTCCTCCATTTTTTTTTTTTCTTTTCTCTACCTTCGTATTCTCTTCCCCTTTTTTCTCTCTTCTTTCTCTTGACCCCCTTCTCCTCTTCCCTTTTCTTTTCTCTTCTCTTCTTCTTCTTATTCCTTTTTTCTCTCCATTTTCTTTTCTTTTCTCTCACCTTCTTTTCTTCCCCCTTTTTGCTCTTTCTTCTTGACCCCCCTTTTTTTTTCTTTCCTTCTTTCTTATTCTCCTCTTTTTTTCTTTCTTTTCTTCTTTCCTTTTTTAATTTTCTTCTTTTTTCTTTTTTTATTTCTTTCTTTCTACACAGCTTTTTCTCCTCCTTCTCCATTTTCATTTTCGCTTCCTCCCTTTTCTTTCCCTGCTCTTCTTATTCTTCACTTTTCTCTTCCTCCTTTTTCGTTTCTGCTTCTTCTTCGTTTCCTCTTCTTTCTTTTTTATTTTTTCCCCTTTCTCTACTCTTCGCCTTCTTCTTCCTTTCCTCCTCTTCCTTATACTTATTCACCTCCTCCCCTCCTTTACCATTTCCACCTCTTCCTTATACCTACTCGCCTCCTCCTCCCCATCCTCTTGTACAGCTCCTTCTTTATTTATTTTCTTTCGTCTTCACCTCAACTTTACCTATTCTTTCACTTCTACTATTTTTCTTTCTTCGTTCCTCAGTAAATTATTCTTTTCATCTCCTCCTCCTCCCTCTGCTCCTCCTTTTTCTTCAGAGAAAAAATTCTCTTCCTGGAATTTTCTTCACTTTCTTCTTTTTCTTCTTCTACGGCTTTTTTTTTTTTGCTTCCTCACCCCTACTTGTTATTCTTCAGAAACGATAATATTACTACTTTGCAACTACTGTGTACTACTACTACTAATAATAATAATAATAATAATAATAATAATAAAAATAAATCTCAAAAATTTGGCAAATGGGTAATCAACAAACCTTCAAAAATCAAAATAGTTGGATCCCTCGGATCGGTTGGAAAGAATTGCAGTAGACTAATAAAAGGATTCAATTCAACTATTATGCCTCAAAGTTATTGTTTAAAATTTGTTCTGACTTTTACAGCCCACAATTTTACGAAGAACTTTATCTATGTATTTTTTTTTTTTTTTCTCAGTGGAAGTTTCATGATGCCATTTCAAGATTTAGGTCTCTGGGCCAAAAAGAAAGTGTAAACGACAGAAATCAAAAAGCAAATCAAAACAATAATAATAGTAATAATAATAATAATGATGGATGATTAAATTCTCCAAGGAGAATTTTAACTAATATAAACTTTTAACTAAACATAAGGCCGGACAAAATTCTCGATTTTTCGTAAAATTAATTAAGATGGAGTATAATAGAGGTAAAATTATTTTACCAAGATTTTATAAATTAAAAAAAAAAATTAATAATTTCGTTTATTTTTTCATAAATCCTTAAAATTTTCATTAAAATCTGACAAAGGTTTGATTTTTGCAAAAATTTCCAATTCCATGTGTTTAAAAATGACGCTAAAATTTCCTATACTAATCTTTGGCCCTTCCACTGACACAAAAATAAACACAAGGTTTTAATCAAAATTTTGAATGTTCTAACAACGATAAAGAAATATAATTTAATAATCAAAAAATTCTTTGTTTTTTCCTCTTAATAATAACATAAAGATTTTGATTTATAAAAAAATTTTTTTTAAGTTTCATATTCAACAAATTATGCTTATTTGTTAACGAATTAGTGGACGGACCTAATATAGTTGCTTGAATTATTTCTTGAGAAAGCTTTAAAATGTGTATACATTTTTTAGACACACTATGTTCAAGTTAAAATACAGACGTCATACTTTAAGTGCCCCACATTTCGACCTCTATTGTTTTCCTGTTAATCAAGGGTTGTTCCCAGACAAAAAAGAGGAAAATTTTATCGCCACATAGATACCCATTTCAATTTTTATTTAAACTGAGTGCCTGTATGAACTTTTGCGCGTGTAAAAAGATTTCATTCAATGAATGACTCAAAAATATTTCTATAATTTTTTTAAAAAAATCTTTTAAAATAATTTAAATATAAAATATCCACAAAAATAAGATTCAAATGATAAAAGATTTGTTCATTTCATTTTTATGTGTTGTTTTTTGTTTCCACAAATTTTCGGCAGATAATTTCTGTTGCAGGGGTCGATAACCTTTTGCTGGCTAAATGCCGACTTAGGGTTTTAAAATCATTCATTGTGACAAAAGGATACGTATTTTTATACAAGTCAAGGTCAATATACCTGTTCTACAATATATTTTATATAGTAATATATAGTATATATGTACTTTAGTATATATTAAAATTAAAACAGCTAAATATCTTCTTTACGCTGTAGTATTATAGGTTCGGACCTCGTGATGTCATTCAATATTTAAAAATTTAGCACGCTATGCCGTAAACTAAATCAACCCTGTTCTACGGCCTTTCTAATTTTACACCGTCTCATTATATTTCATTCTACAGCCTTAGAAACAAGAGTAACAATATTCTAAACAACACGTGGTGTAATAATTAAATTCTGTCGGTGTTTTCCTTGAAGCTGGATGAAGAATAAATTGGCCGAATTCGATCATTAGTCTGGGCAACTATTAATGTTCATGATTCATGTTAAAATTAAAAAAATTTTAACATATTAACATATTTTTTACTTAAAATATCGAACGAGGTCCATGTAAATCAAGAATATGGTTAAAAACTGTCAATTTTCATTTGTCAGTTCTATGTTAACAGTTTCTTCTCTCGCACTTCTCACTTGTGGAACACTGTTCCGCCTTTTTGTTTGCCAGTCAATTTTGATCTTCAGATATTCAAAAAAAAATATCAATCGTTATGTTCTCTTCTTAATTCTTGTTCTTTTATTGTCCTGAGAAAATCCTTTTCATATATTCTCAATTTTATTCTAAAATTCTCAAAATGTCAATCATTATCTTCTTAAAAACTTAATTCTTTTTCTTTTATTCTTATCGTTCGTTCATAGTGTTAATTTTTCTCATATTCCTTTTTTTCTTCAAAATTTTAAATGCAATATCAATCGTTATCTTCTGTCTTTTTTTGTTCTTTTATCTCCTCTCTCATAAAAGTGTTTTTTTTCTAATGCCAATTTGATCTTCTAAATTTTTTAAATGCAATATCAATCGTTATCTTCTGTCTTCTTAATTCTTGTTCTTTTTTGTCCTCTCTCCTTAATAGTGTTTTTTTTTCTCATATTCTCAATTTGATCTTAATAAAAATTTAAATGCAATATCAATCGTTATCTTCTGTCTTTTTAATTCTTGTTCTTTTATTATCCTCTCTCTTTAATAGTGTTTTCTTTTTCTCATATTCTCAATTACAATCTTTAAAATTAAATTTTAAAATGTCAATCATTAAATTTCTGTCTTCAATTAATTTTTGTTCTTTTATTCTCCTCTCTGTTTAAATTAGTTTTTTTTTTTCAAATTAAAATTTGAAAAAAAAAATTTAAATGCAAATTTAAATTTATTTAACATCAATTCTTGTTTTTTATTACCTTTTCTTTTTTTTCTTTCTTCGTCATATTATGGAATTTGATCAATAAAATTTAAATCAAATTTTAAGCAGAAACAAATTTTGATTAAAAATAAAATATATAAAAATTGTCCCATTTGAAAAAAATTTTTCAATGTTGATAATGAAATTAAATGTAAAAAAAAAATGATTAAATATAAAATTTTAACAAAATTTTGAGGTTCTTATAATGCTATTTATTGGAAATCATCTTAAAAACAAAAATTTATTTAGCTCCAATGAGTGTTGTAAAAATCTGTAGCTGTTATTGATCCTAAAATTTTTTTTTTCCTTTTTACTGATCTATCTTTTTCAAACTTTCTTGATGGTTCTTAATGAACTAAATAATGTTTAAATTATGAATTCAAAAATATATAAAATGGCCTGAATGATCTTTTTAAAATATTTGTATATTGTTTTTTGGAAAAATTATAAATATGATACAAAACGATTTTAAAACTGTGATTCTTAATTTTGAATAACTTTCTGGGGTTTCTGTTAACAAAAAACGATTTTTAATTCAAAATGGCGAGTTATTTTTTAGATATTATTAATTAAAAATTGATGAATTTTTTAATTTTTTTACATGATTTTCCAAAATTTTGCTGTTAAACCCGGTATATATATATATATATATATATATATATACAATATATATATAGTTAGATATTACAATTTACGCTCTATCTATGGAAATTTGATGTTCTTTATCACACTTATAAATTTTATATATATATATATATATATATATATATATATATATATATATATATATATATATATCTCTGTATTTAAAATATTATATTAAAATAAAAAATCAAAAAGGAGGACCCATTTGCTTGACAAAATTTTCCTTTTTTTCACCGGATTTAGATTTTGAATGAAAATTGAAAATAATTTGTAAAAAAGAATAAAATGTTTGAATGCGAAAAGTTCTCTGAAAAAAGTCTCTATGTTTTTCTGTTTTGTGTGTGTGTTTCAATTTGTGTGTGACTTTTTGTGTGTGTGTCCATTGAATAATCAATTTATAACAGACCCCTGTTTATACCACTTCAAAATTTTTCATATGCCAAATTTATGAAATTTGATAGAAAAGAATCATAAATTCCTTTTTTTTTATTTATTTATTACATCGCTGGTGATGGAAGAATGTTTCAATCCAAATTGGTCACTTTTATTTTTAAAAAAATGGAATTCATATTTGACTAAGAAGGAAGATTAAAAAAATTTGTATTAATAATTTTTTCATTGATTTTATTGGTTAGATAAGATTTCATTATTTTTCAACAGTAATTTTTGAAAATAATAATGAAATCCAATAAACCCGAAAAAGAAAATTAAAAACATCACTGATATAATATTTTTAAAAATATTATAAAAACTTTGTGTATTGTGTGTGTGTGTGTGTGTGTGTGTGTGTGTGTGTGTAACGTTTATATATTGGATCGGATTTCCTACATTTTTCAACCGATTTCAACAAAACTTCACAGGACTACATAAAAATTACCTTGTGGTGGTTCTAACAGATAAAAAAAATGGGAAAAATATAATTTTTTTTGCACAAAATCAATTTGAAAACACGATTAAGAGACATCGTGAAAATGGAAGGGGACAACTCACATCGGGTTGTTTTGTGTGTGGGTTCCTTTAAATATGGGAGCGGATTTCCTATATTTTTCAGCCGATAAAACAAAACTTCACTTTTTTTTTTTTTTTTTTTTTTTGGCAGGTAGTGTTTCTTATTCTCTTGCACACTTTTTTCTTTTTTTTTTAACATTCAGAATGCTTTAAAAATTCCATTTACAAGACAATTGTTTATAATAAAATTCTATTCAATCGGGAGACTCATAACGATTGAAAACAATGTTTTTGTTTGAGTTTGGGTTTGACCAATTCGTAAAAAAAAAAAAAAAAAACCTAATTAAGACATGCGTGTCCGTCAACCTTAAACAATAATCTAACGATCTCTACTGATTGTACGAATACAAACATCGGATAAATTCTTTATCTTTAGGGAAAGATAATGAAATCTAAACATACACAAGTCCTAACTAAAAAATAATAACCGGAACGAAACTAATTTAAAACTACTTTTGTATTATTTTTTTTTACTGTATTCAATAAGTAAAAATCATAAATTAAAAAAAATTATTATTACAGAAAGGCTACTAAATGAATAAGATTTGTTAGATCATAATTAATAAACCCAAATAAAGTTAATATTTTTTTATTAGAAACAACGAGTGGAAAATATATTCAAATCAGAATTCTAATTATGAATCACCA